GTCCTGGCGGGATCGGCAGTACTTGTGCTGTCGAGATGCGTGGCGTCGGTCGTGTCCTGCTCGAGCTTGCCGAGCAGAAATAACAACCTCACCCCGTCTGCGCTTTGGTCGCGCGAGACGACGAATTATACTTTCTGCGACGCGTATACTTTGGTCGCCGCATACCGCCTGCGGCGCTGTCACGATTTCCAACCGACCGGGTGATGCGCTCGAGTGCGCACCGTCGCTGTTGCGATGACTTTACAGGATCGATTCAAAGCACCTCCACTCTTTCTCGACGTCGCGCCTGGACACGTTCCATGTTTGCACGTCCCCACCGAGTAATGTTATTTGGGTCGACGAGGCACTGTGTGGCATAGATTATCTTTTCTTTGTGGTGCTGTCCTGTAGGCTACGCTAGGTGTACTTTCCCCCACCCGTCATTCATTCATCGAATAGAATTCAATGGCTTTGAGAATAACGATGATGGACAAGGACCGGGTCATGGTTGAACAACCAGAAGATTGCAGGTTCGATCCCTGCGGTAAGACTGTGGTCAACAAATCAAGTCTTGTTTAATCCTAACCATGCCAGGAAGAAGTCAGAAAAGTGAAGAATAGCAAGAAGGACGGGAGGCGGCAGGGTGTGTATTGGTGCTATTGACACAAAATCTGCAAGTTCCGAACCTGGTCAGATATGGGATGCTTCTTGAGAGAACCGTCAGCACTAGTCAGAACCGTTTGAACGCATTGCAGAACTGAGCAAATCTCGATAGATCTGTAGCACTGCCACAGTGGAGCTGGTCACGTCTGGAGACATCTGGACAGATGTGCTCGTTTTGCAGATCTGGCAGATCTGCCCGGCTCCAACCAGGACTCTCATGATCAAGACCGATATCAATATATTCGGGATGCGTTTAGACGGTTCTGTCCAGTAGTCACAATTAGATGCCGAACCTGGTCAGTAACGGAACTTGCGATTCTTGCGTCATTGTTCAGGTCGAACCAGGCTGGACCAGGTGACACTTGGGTGACAGCACAGATATCGGATCCAGTCCTTACTCTCTTGTAAACGCGGCTAAAATTGTAAAATCAACTCAGAAATGTCGGGAAGGGTGGGGTAGAAGCGACAAGAAGTTCCAATAGTATTGGCAAAATGGAGAATTTATTGACCACCGCAGGGATCGAACCTGCAATCTCCTGATTCGTAGTCAGACGCGATGCCATTTCGCCAGGCGGCCATGATATTAACTCTCAAAGCAGTATTTATTACTGGCTTGTTGCAAATGCTGCCTCTTTCGTCATCGGTCCGGCCCCCGTCGGCCACTTGCATATAAGGTCGCCCCTACGGCATTGGTGCTGTTGAACGGTACCCCCATCGATAGCTACCAGCATGCCTCTCCCCGAAACAGTGACGCTCAACACGGGCGCGAAGATGCCTACCCTAGGCCTAGGTTCCGTCTCTGCGCTGCTAGCATGCCCGCCATTCCTGACCG